TGGCAACATAGGTTAGCCCTAGGTAACTCTGATGGGGAAGCAGGGCTGAATGCCGTTCTGGATATATGCTTTCTGGTCCAATCAGACGGCATCCCAGAGGTAGGCAGTCATCCCACTGCTTAAGCTCCATGACCAACTGATGCGCAAAGGTGGCCATATTGTATCCCGAAGACATATGGCGAGAGATCTTATTGAGAACGCTCGCCAACTCAACCAAGCGGTTAAAGCAGCTCAAGGCTAAGAGTGGTCCCCGGCGCGGCGGGTTCTTGCTCCCCTGTGGAGCACCCGTGGGTGGTAAAACGTCCACCCAGGAGTTCCACTCCTCCAATCCATCCTCTTCCAAAAGGCCCACCGCAGTAAGGTCGCTTGGAGGCATGGCTGGGCTCCGTGAAAGACGGAAAGAGAGCAATGAATCAACTACAAAGCATCCTAAGAAGACCGCCTTACCTTGTCTGAGCTCATCAGACCGCCGGCTGTCAGACACATATCCAACACCCATGGGAACCGCCATGCGCACCGCTTGTCCGCTCAACAGCCAAGCCGCGGTCCAATCCTCGAGGCCCATGTTAACCAAGGTCAGCAGCAGCAATGCCTGGATATGGCCGGGTTCATAACGCTCTTTCTCCGTGGGGATGAGATTCCGCGAGACGGCATAGTATTCCTTCGCCAGGGCAACTGTTCCAGCGGGGCCGGCCCGTGAATTTGTTCGCGATTGGGTGATAGTGTAACTCATGATTGCCCACAGGGCGGCATGATCGCCAGACCCAGGTGAGGCTGTGGCAATAGAGAAAGGGGCATTGGCATAAAGGTAGGAAGCGCGAAGAATATTATGCTTGGTCACCACGGGAAACCATGAATGCGTGACCGCAAAGTAAATATCGAGCAGCTGCGACGTCTGAGGCGGCAACTGCAGCGTATGGGGACTGGGTCCAGCGACACCCCGACCATTCGAATCTTCCGATAGTCGAGCCCGCTTTACACCCGGCGATGCGGCAAAGGGCTCAACTACACGCGGGGCACCCGGACCGAGCGGGGTGGAAGTGCGAGCTACTCGATACCTCCATTGACCGTCGGCGCCATCATCTTGCGGATTACGCGATCTCTTCCCAGTCGTCGGTCCCGGCGTATCAGAATTAGAGAGCATTTTCTCCAGGGCGCCGAACAGCCGGCTCGTTTTCCAAGATTCGTGCAGACTTTCCGAAGCACTATCATCCGACCACACGGACATCAATTTCTCGCGACGACCGGCGGACTCGGCAGTGTTTCCTAGCATGGCCAGCATGGTATCCTCGAATCCCTCAATGTTACAGATCGACAGCGCCCACAGCTTTTCCAAGCCACGGACGTAACCCTCGGGGAGACCGCGTTTCTTCGCATGGGGGTCGTAGGAGCAGGACTGGCCCGATACCTGACAGGCGGAACAAGTGGGACGAATGCCGTCACATTTATCCTAGGGTCGCCGGGTTGTTAGATTGAGCAAATGAAATATCCGAGAAAAGGACATGGCGGGACGCGACTCACTTTCTTACTGCGACAGCGATCGCAAGCTCGGGAGACCCTCTTGCGCCGAGGGGCCTTATCTGATCCCTCATCCATGAAGAGGGGTTATTAGCGCAGGGGACACGCCATGTAGAGTGGAATGAAGGGACAGCAGCTCTAGGTCAATTCCGAGTTCACTGAATCGCAGAATAAATTTGCAAGTAATGCCAAGGTCGGACCGTATAAGAAGCAGGCCGAGACTCGGAACGGGGTCGAAGAAGAGTGCAACCGCGAATATAAAAGTGGAGGAGCAGACTCTAATCAAACCACCATGTATAGAGTAGTCAGCCTCCACGGCAAAGGACACAGATAGGCAGGCCGAGGAAGGATCTCGGACGTGAAGTTCGGGATGTGAAGGCACTCGGAATTATCGGGGGATCTCCAACGACCCCACAAATTTCCCACATACTCCGAAAATTGACTTGCTACATCGTATATAGTCGATTTATAGATCGAGAGAGCATATCTGTAAGTAGACATGACTACACCTTTTACACTGATCAGACATCAAGGCATCAAGGCATCAAGGCAGGCATTCCGGATGTACACCCGACCAAAGCCGACGACGCTTAACCCGATTAGGACTTTATATGCGGCGTAACGAGGCTGTAGAGTGAGCACTAGTTTCTCAAAGATCAACCTGGAGACTGGGCTCAACACTAACCCTATATCGGCATCGATATGCACTGTGACTTGTGTAAGAGATCCTGACTCCTACGGAATCGAGATTAGCGCGGTTATATCGATGCAGCTTACAACTTGCAATCTATCGTATTGTAGGAACGGATTTCAATATAGGCTGCATACGAAGGGGCATAGCGCGCAGGGTCGTTTTCGCCTGATTAAGGCCTGAATGCCTGAAATATGGCCTGAATTGGCCTGAATCCAGACCGCTTTTAGGCATCAAATTTACAGTGTATTGTAAATGATGCCGGGCGGACTAACTGTGCCCGATGACCCATGAATCATGAAGCATTTCGCACCATATTAATTTAATCATCTCAACTTTTTGAGGTGGTTTACTGGCTTTCTTATGAAGCATGGGGCGCCATGCAAATTTAATCATCCCGACTTTTTCAGGTGGTTTACTGGCTCTCTCCGTCATACATGAACATGAAGCAATTTGAATTAATTCTACCACTACTAATAATAGACATAGTTTAAATCCAAAACAGTCATTTAAACACTATATAATAGAGAATAGCCAATTGATCAAATGCGACCGGTAATTCATCATAATTTTAGTGAAATTGTAGATCTTTCATCCTCTACTTCTTTGTATAATTATACCATGAATAGGACGAATTATCGGTCAAATTTAGATATTATAATACTCTCTACTATCTAGCATTTAAATACAGTTTTTAAAATTGAAAATTCTTCATTCTTCATTTTTGGTAGTGGTAGAATTAATTTAAATTGCTTCATGTTCATGTATGACGGAGAGAGCCAGTAAACCACCTGAAAAAGTCGGGATGATTAAATTTGCATGGCGCCAAAAGCTTCATATTTGTAGGTGTCCAGGTGAGACTGGCAGATTATTAAGCATCCGTAATGGTAATTCAGGTATCCTTACTTTTCTGCCAGGCAAATTCTAGGCATTAAGGCCCCAATCAGGTGAAAACGACCCTGCGCGCTATGCCCCTTCGTAGGCTGCATTTAGTCGCTTCAAGCTGGCTGAATTAGAAGATCTCGTTGGTTCTTTTACAAATTTGAGTTTGTGTGTGAGGGGGTTCTGTATCTACTCCTTTCCAGCTATGAGTTTACAATTTATTCTCTGGCTCTATTCTATGGTTCCAATTTGTTTTGCGAAAGAGTTTATTCCATTTACTATATAGCAACACATGTCAATGGAAAAATGTAAGTTCTTCCTATCCTATGTGACTGAACTTCCCTGCCACTACAGACTCGGGAGGAGGGCGAGCTCGTATAAAGTAGTATAAGGCCCCCTCTTATAGACTTGGGAATTCATAAACCGTACGGAGCATGCATAGAAAGATTGTCGCCTCACTTGTGTTGTGCCACGAACTAGGCCGTCCCAACCCCAGGCCAAGGTTTTATTCTCAAGAACTACGGATTCTCGCACCATAGCATTGGGTCTGGCCGGCACATACCAACCACCCGGCATGCAAGCTTAGTGCTTCCGATGTAAGCTTGCTTTTTCTATGTGTCTCCTTGCTATCATGCATTATAAACCATGTTGCCTATGGAATTCAACCATTCTATCCCAAAGAAGAAAAGCCAGCGCTTCCATGTATGATTTATTTGACCAGGGAGATAAATTATGAACCTAGTTGTAGAAATATGGGCATAATTCCCCATTTCCACAATTACAATCCTAGTACGGAGTACTCCGTATGTGCCTCGTAAGGTTCAGCATAGCCTTTACGGGTCGGTGCGTTTCGTATACGTCGTGTACTTCTGTCAGTGCGATTTGAGATAGGCGGCTACATGAGGGGGAAGTCTTCCTCTCAGTCTTACTCTGTTGATCTATACTCCATACGTCCATCAACATATGTCGCAAAATAAGCAAAAAGTATGCCAAATCCCCAGAATCACCACAGGAAGTAACTTTGGGACAAAATGACGCCAAAGTATCCGCACCGAACTAATTTAGATATGTATCATGTAAGAAGTCTTTTTGCGATATGTAAATTCTTTTGATTATAGGGACTGCAGGCCGAAGGTTGACTGGCTCCCGTCTCTGCGAAAGTACGCCGCCACTACTCCGTGTATGGAGGTGCTTTATTTGCAAGGATCTCAATACACTTCATTGACGCTATGTATACGCTTTCCGCAAGTAGTCTTCTTGATATGTAGGCTGATGGTTTCGTCTTGCTCTCTCAACTAGGGACTGTGCGTATCGCCGCCCCTACCACCTGCGAACTATACCATGAACACAGAGGTAATCATGCGTTGGCACATTGCGCATGGTGGCTTGGCTGGCTCTCTTCGACCCATCATGATTTGACTTGATTAGTTGGCTGTGGCAGGGATCGTGGCATTACCACCTGGAATTAATTTAGAAGCCGGCTGACTTGAAGCAATGGACGAACTCTATCTATCGGTATACTCGACAACTTTGGTATATATAGCAATTGATTTCCTCAATTAAAGACATAGTCCATGGTCAGTCTCAGTCTATTTTTTATACCCCCTCGCTAAATTTCCTCCATATCCCATCATGAGCAATAAACGTCAGGTCTTCGTTTCGCTTCATCATCGTGCTTCTCTCTCTATCGGCAAGAACAGGCAGCGATTCGGCTACGCGGCCTACCATTGGGGGATTCTCATATCTCCCAAAAGCCCTAAGGGGTCAGACAGCTATTCTTTCGACGTTAGCGACGGAGTTCTTCGTCGATCCGGTGCTAAGAGTGAATCGTAATGAGGAAGGCAACTGGCACTTTCGACAGAAAATAAACGTTAATCCAGACCAGAGCGGTCACCTCGTTTGAAGGATCATGATTGGGAAAGTGCCGAATGAGGTTACCTACGCGCAAATTTACAACCTTCTCGAAGCGATTCCACTTCCACAAAAGGGTGCTATACCAGAGCAAAACTGCGTCACTTGGACGAGAGCCGCAATTCACAAGCTTCGGGAGAGCGGGCTTGTGGAGCAATTCGATCTTGATCAGTTTATGGACGAGTCGATCGCTTACGTGGATCAACGCCTATATGACCTCGATTCTCAACCCGATAGAATCAACTACACTCCTCGGCGTATGTGACATGTGAAACGCCTCGGATATCTATATGACGAAATATATATAAATGATCCGAAGGGGAAGATATGACAGGTTTAATGTGGGAAGAGCGGACAGACTAGAAGAGAAGCGAGGAGAGGGATGAGAGAGAGAGGGAGAGAGGGAGAGGGAAAGAACAGACCCTGTTATATAAGTGAATGCACCAGAGAGCTGAATAAGATCTCATTGTCTCGATACTGTCAGACAAGGCCTGAAATCAGATGCTCTCTCCCCTGCCATAAAATCTGTGGATCATCTAATCGCCTCCAAAGAACTTGTTCCGCTGCAAGCTCGTCGTCATATCTCTTCTCCAAGGCATTTTGCAATCCGGTATACCAGTCTGGCCGATCTACCTGACCGTAGTGTGCCTTAGTATACTCCCAATATTCTGGGTACCAGCCGCCAAATTGCCAATCAACAATCGCAGAAACCTTCCCATTATCCACCATGATATTCCGAAGTGCGAGATCTGCATGGGTAAAGCAGCTCCGATAATGACGGGAGTGACATTCGGCGATCTCTGGACCTAAAGAGTCCACAGGGAGGTCCGCTCGAAGGTATGAGTGAAATCCTTCATGGCTTATAAACGGCCCAAAATTCCAACATCCGACTCGGTGATCGAGGACCTTGTCGAAAGTTGCCGATGCAACTATTCCTTCTTGTGGAGGTTCGAGTCTTCGAAGCTGGCTAATATAGCCCGCAACCTGGTTGATAATGTGCTTCTTTTGATCTTCAGATAGGTAGCCGCGGTGCCATGCTTTCTCGAGGCTCATTCCACGGATATACTCCATTTCGATATAGAGCCTATCATCATAATAGTGGGTGTTGAAGACTTTAGGGACAGGAATTGATGTGTGCTCAGCGACGTATCTCAAGGCTTCTAGCTCCGGCATATAACAAGGCCCTTTGATCATTCTACCAGGGCTGACTCGGACTCCATGTGGTCCGAGTTTGTTTGCTCCAAAGAGTTTTTTGCCAATCCATAGTCGAAGTGGAAGAAGATAGGAGATTGGGTGGTTTTTCTTATTCGCCATGGCTGGCTTGGTCCAGTAGATGGTTTCCCTTGTATTATTGATGGGGTGACAAGTTGCGAAGAAAGGTGAATCCCAGAGCTGGTAAAGCCCACGTCTCCCTGTAGCGCTTGGGCTTATGGCTAGCAATTCTTGGTCCAAGCTATTGTAGCCCTTCCTATTCTAATATATACAATGTTAGAATGGTTCCAACTAGTCAATCAAGCACACTATCTCATTATTACCCGAAACAATGGAGAAGCACGCTACCCAGGACGTAGAATCGATCGACTATGTCCTTGCAAATACGGGGGGCGATGCCGTCTGATTTGAGAATGTGGTGTGGTTCAGGGGTACAGGTGGAAAGGAGATCAGACTGTTTACAGGGGACAAAGGGTGGGTCACATGACTATCAACACGAGCATCGAGCTGGGATATCAAAGGCGATGTGAAGGTCCATGGAGTCCTGAACATTGATTTCGTGTGATTTCGTGTGATTTGAAGACTTCGATATTGGCTATGCACTAGTATAAACATTTCCCCACAAACCCACATCTAAAAGTAAAGGGATCCATAAAGACTTGTAGTAACTCATGGTGAGCTCTTCGGACCAGCTTCCAGTAGATGATTTCGCGAGAGACAGAGATTTGACATGAGATGATGTGCAGTCAACTCCACTTTGAGATTTGTATCTTGCATCTCTCCAGACCGAGATCTGGTGGAAAAGCCTTTTGCCGGAACAAAACTGGCCGGCAACTTCCTAAATTCCTCATTCCGGGGAACATCTACCAACTTGGAACACTTGGCATATTGTTCGACTAACATACTTAGATCAAGACTATTCCAGACTATATTGTCCTGTCTGTTGTCCACATGAGCATCCCTTCTCATCCCTTCTTGACATCTCCCCGCATTCAATCTCTGAATGCGATTCTATGCCTTCTGATCATGGCGCTCGTTCACTCGACATAGATCCTAATTGATCCATCGCCTCTTACCATGCTCGATTCTAAACCCTCAAGTTCCCCCGCGGTCGACGCCAAGTCCGACATCCCCGCATGTGCCACCAGGGAAACCTCCTCTCCAACCATGCTCCGCCCCGAGTCCGCCCCTCGAACATTTGCTCCCAATGCATCCCTCGTCCTGATCGGCATCCGCGGATGCGGCAAGCGCTCGCTAGGCTTTGTCGCCGCGACCGCGCTGAAGCGACGCTTCATTACCGAAGACCACTACTTCCGAGAGGTTACAGGCGTCACACGACAGGAATACCTCAAGCGGTACGGCAGCCAGGAGTTCCAGCGACGTGACATCGAAGTCCTGAAAATGATGCTGGATAACCACCGCACGGGCTGCGTCGTGGAGTGTGGGCTGGCCAGTCTGACGCGACCTGTGCAGGATCATCTGCGTCGTTATGCCCGGTCCAACCCAGTGGTTCATCTGCTGCGCGATATCGATCGCATTCAGCAATTGCTCGGTTTGGAGGATCAGGCGGTACGGTTGTTTCGGGAGGGGGACCCGATGCATCGGATGTGTTCGAATTTCGAATTTTATAATCTTGAAGATCGAACGCGCGCGTCGGAGGATGGGAGCCCCGATCGCCGGTCTGCGGATTATTCATTCAAACTGCAAGAAGTAAAAGAGGACTTTACGCGGTTTGTGCAGTTTATTACTGGACTCGATGTGAACTATTCGAGCTACGATTCGCCGTTCGTTCTGCTGGAGACGCCCCCAGAACTGCGCTCTTTTACCCATGCTATCTTCGTGCGATCTTCCGATCTGATCGCCGACAATGTCAACCTGACTGAACTTGAATCTGGTGGAGATGCCATTGAGCTTTGTGTCGATCGATGGGGCCCAGACATGGCAGCCACTATCAGCAAACAGGTCTCTGTCCTGCGTCGAAATGCGCGGACGCCTGTGATTCTCTCCGTTGACACCTCCTCCATCGGCGTCCGCTCCCCGGAGCCAGCCACCTCTTCTTCTCGACCTTACTTTGATATTCTCGCGCACGGTCTGCGCCTGGGTGTGGAATATCTTGTTGTAGACCTAACTCAAGACCAATCCCGGCTGGCTGGGACTATCATAGGTCGGGGGAATACCAAGATCATCGGCCAGCAGGTCTTTGAACCATCTTCCCCCACTACATGGGACAGTGCGGACTGCGTCGCCATCTACAACGAAGCTGAAAAGCTCGGCTGCCAGCTCGTCCGCCTCCTCCGAGTTGCAACAAATCGCGAGGACAATGCCGCTGTGACTGAGTTCACTAATAAAATCCGATCGCTCCCGGGAGATCACCCACCGCTCATCGCCTATAACGTTGGTGCCCTAGGGCGCACCTCACAAGTGTTCAACTCAATCCTCACTGCAGTAACACATCCAGCGATTACCCAGTCTGCAGATTATAAGCACGACCCGCAAATAACCTCTCGCGACGCAGTCCGCGCTCTATTCCAAAGTTACGTGCTCGACCCGCTCAAGTTCTACATATACGGGGAGAATGTCGCCTACAGTTTGTCCCCGGCAATGCACAATGCGGCACACCAACACTGCGGCATGGGCCACACCTACAGCATCCCAGAGTCACCCTCTCTCGCGGTCTTAGACCGACTGGGCCGTGATCCACAATTTGGGGGATCCAGCATCGTGCAGCCATGGCGCGTACAGGTATACCAAAAGCTCGCCTCGAAAAGCCGACACGCCGAAGCCATCGGGGCAATCAATACGATCATGCCGCTCCGCGGACACGCAGATGGAACAATGTTCCCACTCCAGGAACAAGCCAGCCGACGCAACCAAGCCGGGCGCGTGCTGGGATGGTACGGTGAAAATACTGACTGGGTCGGGATAATGACGTGCATACGGCGACATCTCTCCCCGCGTAACGCGATCAGCGCAAAAACAACAGGCCTAGTGATTGGCGCGGGTGGCATGGCGCGGGCCGCCATCTATGCCATGCTCCGACTTGGGTGCCGGAAGATCTTCATATACAACCGCACGCAATCGCGTGCCGAGGAAGTCGCGCGTCATTTCAACTCCTGGGCGTCGTCGCAAGTCGACTCGGCTGAGGTGGTTTGTGTCTTGAAGTCGCTTCAGGAAGACTGGCCCGCGGACGCTGCTCAGCCTAGTCTCGTTGCGTCTTGTGTGCCGGCTGATCCAGACCGAGATGAACCACCGGCAAACTTTGAGATGCCAATGCAGTGGCTTGGGAGTCCTACGGGGGGTGTGATTCTCGAGGTGAGCGTTTTTCCCCCGGGATATGTTTACTTTTTGTCACACGTACTAATTGCATATAGTTGGCATATAAACCCCTCGATACGCCACTTCTACGACAAATGCGCCGAGTCCGGAGCGAGACCGGACGGCCTTGGGTCTTGTCTGACGGATTGGAGAATGTTACCGAACAGGGCATTGCTCAGTTTGAGTTGATGACCGGTCGCAAGGCACCTCGGCGGCTTATGACCTATGAGGTTCTACATAATTATGTGGGTGATAGTGGGCGTTTTGACGAGAAGACTATTCAGGCTCGTCTAGATGGTGTTGGGTCTCCGGTTACTCAGAAAAAGGAATAGAGGGTATTTTTTATGACTGTGATCTTTTCTTCCTGACTTCTTTCGTCAGTTTTGTATACATAAAACAATCTCAAACAGTTTATAGCAGACTCGACTCGATATAATCTCAATCGCGTGCGCTGATAACACTCTCCTATCGGCACACCGCCCGGCCCGAGCCCTCTTTCTTTTGTTTGGGTCTCGTCAGCTTCAAACTCGACTCCCCCTGAGGTTTCTTTGTGTTCCTAGCCCTCTACAACATAGTCAAATTGACTTGAATAGGGTATAATACCACCAATGCCAGGGTTTTCGCCCGAGCAGACCGACTCGATAACGGCAACATGGAAGAAACGCAAGCGGGACCATGAGGAGTCAAGGACTCTAGCACGTCCGTAAGTCTTACAATGTATCTCAGTGAGGTGAACATATAGATTAACATGCCTTTCAGAACAACATATGCCCCATCCTGCCGAGTTGATTGGCCCGAATACGACGGTAGCTGCTCACTGCCTCTATCACGACACCCAGAAGGAACAGACATATCCTTCCGACCACGCTGTCTCCCCCGCAAGCGCCGACATATCCAAGGCCCTTATATAGCACTACCGTCTCACCAGTTCCAGCCTCAACACCAACTCCAACACCAGCAATCCCCGACCCACCTCTCCCCAAATGTCTACGGCACCCCAAACCAAGACCCATACTCACCCCCGATCTCCCCAAAAACCCTCGTCCCCTTACACTACCCAACTCAACAATCCGCCTCTCCCTCCGCCCTGCGCCCCTGCCACATCTGCCACCGCCGCCCAACAACCCGTCAAGTCCTCGACGCCTATGCAGACTGCGATCTCTGCCACGAGCGCGCATGCTTCATCTGTCTCCGGCAATGTGATAGCACATCCTGCGGCGGAACATTCGGTCTAGCAGAAGATCCAGGCATACACATGCATATGCGCACAAGCTCAACCGACGACGTCAGCTACGGTGCCAGCGAGGCGCCGAGGAGGAAAATATGCTCCGGCTGTGCAGTGGAGGAAGTCACCGAGAATGGGGCGGAGATTGTACGCTGTCTTGACTGCGTGCGTGGTGCGGGCTCGTGGGCTCCGGTGGCTATTCCGTCTGATTGGGATTTGGATGACATGCGGCATGAGGATATGACTGGATGAGGGTTATATATGGAGTTGATTTACTCACCTTCTACCGGGGGTGTTGAAGGCGGACATGACAGAATGACAGATGAAACTATGGTATAACATTCTTTACAACCTCAGGGTTGTTTCTGCTGCTCCTTGGGGGGTGGCTTTTTTTTCGGAGTTTGATCCTGGGACTGGACTGGCTGGGATTGAGGCGGGTTTCTTTTTGGCATTTATATTGGACGAACAGCATGGCAAATTAATGATTTTTATTCTTTATATTTTAGCATATAGCATAATGGCATACATATACTATTCCCTTGCCTAAACGACTCTATTATTTTGCCTCGCTTCGCTCAGCAAAATTATTATTAACTGCTTAATCAACTGCTTTATTGTCAAATACTTTAGCAACTACTTAAGCGATTGAGTAACTGCTCTAGTAACTACGAGCTGGACAATTCGGGGAAGGAAAATAAGGTTTCGGCACATCAGCCTTGTGGGGTGCCCTAGTCCAGGTCCACGGGTAAACTTTCGTCTTTCTTTCTTCTCACTGCATGATTGTCTGTTCTATGACTCTACAGATCGGCGACTATCTGCTATTTGCATGTTTGCAAAGTGGCAGATATATCAATGGGCTTCTTCCCACTTTGCAACTTGCTTCTTCTTTTTCTCACTCCTCATATTATTTTGAATAGAATGCACTCTGCTTCCTTTGCAAGATCTGGCACGTCACAACACTCTTCTCTCATCTTACATCTCATAGCACCATCACTTGGCTGGTCACAGCATTCCCCTCTCTACTATGATCCACGACCACACCAGCACTGAATACTGGCACTGTTTAACTAGTGCCTCTATCTTCAATTCGATAGCCATGATCTGGAGATGAAGGACGTGCAGTCGCTTCCGCTCCCTACCTCGGTACGCAATCTAAGACATAGAGTATCGGGGGCATCTAGCTAATTGGATATAGTGACTACACTAGGTCTCATTGAGAAGACCTTTGGTCAATCTAGAACCACCGAAGTTAGTGCTCGGTAGGTTATTGACTCTATCATTCTCAACGCATGCGACAGCCATTGAATATCCAATATGAGAGGGGCTATACTTTCGGCCCGGTTACCCTTAACCGAAAGAGGGTGGTTCTTTCTGGCAGACCGGACTACAGTGTCTGGTATGGCGAGAGCGAGTACTCCGTACACTGGATCCGTTTGGCATTTTTTGAAAATTAGTCATGATTCAAAGGTAAGCTGGTTTATATCAGCCAAGTACATAACTCTAATATCTACCAGTGGTCAGAATTTGCTATTGTCGGTCGTCGGGGCGCTCTCAAGCAGCCGTTCGGGTTGCTAGTGTGGATGCTGCAGAGGGCAGCTGCCATCTCTCCAGCCCACCCAAAGGAAATCTCGGCGGGAACTTACAGTGGGGTAGGGTCTGAGGAGATGGATAGTTAGTTAATTAGTTATTGATCTTATCGCTGAGTAAGATGGTATTTGAATGAGCGGTGCTAAGGGGGAAGGAGGAGTGTTGTACTGATTCATGGCGTAGCATGGCGTTGGCTGATACCTCCCCCCCTCTTCTCATTTGAATCAGCTCTTATTGCGAGGTCATCATTGCTAGTTGCTTAATCTCTACCTCTTAAGCCCTCTCAAGCCTCTGTCATTTCTCTCCACCGTCATGTTTCGTGCACCTTCATACTTTCTTCTCAATAAAGATCCCCGTAGGCCTTGACAAGTGCTGCAGCACCTAGGGAATTTTGGTGCTAGGTTACGGTACTGCGCTAGCATAATTCTCCCAAGAATTGCCTAAAATGGATGGATAAAATGGGTTTGGACGCCTGGCACGATTATCTACCAGCACGCTATGAATATGGTAAGGGTATAGCCAGAATTAAATCTCCAATGCTCATCCACATGCAACCCTACTTCTTCCCAATCTCAATATCAATCTCGTCCCTCCATCCTCCAGCTACCTACCAAACCTCATCTGCGCTCCAGCAAAGTGCCAAAGACCACGCATATACCCCTGATACTCAACCGCCTCCCCATCCCCGATAATTCCATGACTGCGCCCACCGGTACAATACATCTCAGTCAACCTCAGCTGCCATGGCGGATACCCATCGAGCTTAAGGAACGGACCAAAAACAAGCAACAGATCTGGCTCTGGCTTGAGCAACGTATCTGGCATCGTGGGATCCATGGACAGTGGCTGCGTAGTGATCTCACTGATCTCCGCATCGACCAACTCCGGGGTGATATCTTCCGGCGAAAGCTTGCCATTCTGGCTCATGTCCGCTAGGGTCTTAGTTAAGTCGACGAGGGTCTCACGGCCATCGGTTGAGGAGAGGAGGAGGATTGTCAGGGTTTCGGGTTGGGTTGTGGTGTCGATGTTTTTTGAGATGGGCGCGCTGCGGTGTACTGGGTGGTGAGGGGCGTAGAGTTGGAGATTTGGTTGGTGGCTGGGGGTGCCGTAGTAGGATGCGAGTTTGGTGGTGATTATTTGGTGGAGAGCTGGAATGCAGGATTTCAGGACGCCTTGGTAAATGTTAGTATCACTCTATATATCCTAGATAATAGAGAGGAGATCATTCATACCGGACTTCTCGTATATACTGAGCTGGCAAATTCCCGAGCACGAACTCCAGGCCGCCAATTCAGCAACCTCATCCATCAACACCGCGAGAGCATCATCTTCCTTCCGAAGCGTGAGAATCGCACTTAAATGTTGCGGCAAGCGCTTGAGATTCTTCACATCTTTCCGGATCAGCTCGGGGGTGCGGTGGTGGTGATAGACGATTGCGAAAACGCGGTCGATGACGGCATGGTACGCCTGCAAGAGACGGACGACAATACCGAATATGATATGCGTGATGGCATAGGTGAGGTAGTAGGTTTGCGATTTGAGGAATGTGCGGACAGGCGTTTTGCGTGGTGTTTTGCGGCGTTCGCTAGTCGGTTGAGGTGATGGTTTCTGACCAAGCTCGGTGGGGTCGGGGAGATAGCTCTTGAGGAGGGATTCACGTTCTGCTATGCTGAGTTTTGTGCCACGGGCGCGTAGATCGCCGCGTAGGATCTCGCGGTCTCGTTGGGAGACCATTGTTGTGGTGGGTGAAGGAGGGAAGTGGAGATGTGGTTGTACGACGGAATTGTTGAACAGCTGGAGGTTGTATACTAATGATGAAAAGTTGTTATTGTTATGGCTGTTTTCGAAGTATGTCAAATGATATAAAGCATTCTTTCTATTTATATTACGATATCGAGTCCATCTTCGAATATCTCTGCCTAGTGTTGAAGTGCACACTGTATATAGAAATAGAATATGTGCGTGGCAGTAAATCTCCTGGACCAGATCCGTCATCTCCCTCAGCTTTCCCCGGATTCCTTCCTACAATTATTCCCCCAACAGTTTAAGGGAGAGGAGACACCATTGTCCAGCTCTGCAGGCAGCTCATGTCTGTCCACTACCAATCATGATGGACAATGCATCCATCATCACAAACTCCGCCCGCACCATCTTCCCCCAAGGCCCCAGTTTCACCCTCGAAGACTTCTCTAGCCGGGACTTCATTGTCAAGGAGTTCATTGAAGCCCTCTCCGACACTGCCATATCCCACCGTCGCTCACTAGCCGGTACCGCCGCCGCCGCCGCCGCCAACCAACCCTTCGATCCCAAACCCCTCATCCGCGCCTTCGAAAGCGCCCAACGTCGCCTGAGCGAGCTCTCCGGGGACCTCGAGCTCCGCGAGAATGAACTCTCCGCAGCCGTCCGACGTGCAGAAGCGCAACACAGCCAGAACCTCAACACTCTTGGCCAGAAGCTTCGGCACACCATCGAAAACTTTCAACAGCTCGACACGTCTCTAAATGCCCCCGGCCGCGAGCATCCAGCAGGGACGGGGAACATGGCAGTGGAGACAGGAAAGCGCCTAGAGGAGCTAGACCGACAGCGCCGACGAGCTCTGGATGCCCATTTCCTTATCCAATGCTGGGACGGCGTGTGCAATCGGGGCGAGATCTCACTATTGGAGGGCCTGCGACGATCTGGTACGGGAGAGGCAAAGGTGCGCTCCGCAAACATTGCGCGCCAACTGCTGCGCATTAGTCAACGACTAGACCCGCAGAGCTGGCAGGAACACCGGGCTCACTCGAATGGTGGGTACGGGAATAGCTCTTCGTCTGAGGATCTCAGCGAAAGCAGCACGCCGCGGCGGAACACGCGGGAGATTATTGAGAAGTTCTCCGAGACGCTGGAGAAGGACTTGCTGAAGCAGTTTGACGATTTCTACCGCAAGGCTAACTTTGACGGTATGAGGGATTGTGCGACTGTGTTGCAGGATTTCAATGGCGGCGCTAGTGTTATTGCCTTGTTTGTCAACCAGCATCAGTTCTTTATTGAGCGCAGCCAGCTGGTGACGGAGGAAGTCGGTGGCGATCCAGAGTCGTGGGAGAAACTAGCTGATCCCGACGCGGAGCTGCCTGGTGTTGAATCCAGCCTTCAGTCGTTGGTCGATGAAGTCAAAGTTGTAGTCCAAGAGGAGTCTGCTATTATTCGGCGGGCCTTCCCCTACTACGAGCAAGTCCTGGGTAAGTTCTTACAGCGGGTCTTTCAGCAATCCATCCAGCAACGGCTGGAAATGGTACTGGAGAAAGCGGCAGGTGTATCATCACTGGCATTCCTCCGTTGTCTACAAAGCTCCCGTGGCTATATTAGTGCCTTGATCGAAGATTTGAAATCGCACGGATTGACCGAGCATCCGGAGCCTGTTTCTTCGCAGACGGCTTTGTTGCTGGATCAGCAACTGGAGGAGCTTTTCGTTCCTTATTTCGTTGGATCGTCTTACATCGAACGCGAGAAGCGAACGTTAGAAGAACTTTTCAATGCGGTTTTGTTCAGGTTCACCTGCTACCATGCCCGCCGCAAGAAGGCGGCAACGACTTTCATGGCCTCTTTATCCCGGGCTGGATCAGAACTCCTGTCGACTACACGCGATGCATTTATCAGCCGGTTGGACTCACCAGAGGTCTCGCCTATCCAGCGAAAAGTTCTACTCAGCATAGCCAAGATAAGCGATACGCCGGAGACAACTCGATTGACCGAAATCAAGCTCACAGAAGAAGATGGACAGCCTAATCTTAGCGATGCTAAGCGGATGCTGAAGTGGCTCGCTGAAGCCGTGGGCCGAGGACTCGAGCTCAGTGTCAACAGCGACACACCCAAAGATGTCTCCGCCTTGCTCAGCCTGCTTCTCCTCGCGATGGGAGAGGGATATGTGGATGTCTGTCTAGACGCCGCTCTGGAAGCGGCTACGTCGCAAGAATCCGGCAAGGCCGAGCCCGACTTCTCCTATCTCTTCTCGGCTCGCACTACGATCAGCATTACTACATTGATGGTGATGTGCATCCATGCGGTCCTTATACCTCTATCAGCATCGAGCATCACCACTCGCCGCGATATGGAGAAGCGCACCAGCCAAACCACCTCGCGCATTGAGGACAAAATCAACACCATCGAGCAGAAAACCATTGACGCCACATTCGCCTGGGTTAGTAGATCGCTATCTGGCCAGAAGAAGAACGACTTCCGGCCTAGGGAGAGTGATAACACCGCATGGTTAGAGATGCTACAAACTCCAGTACGTTCCATCTAACTGCCCCCAAAGAACCCTACTAATCCTAACAGACCTGCGCATCAATCACCTCATTCTTAACCCGTTTCCACAATATCGCGCGCACCTCGCTCCCATCCAGCGGCGCCAACGTGCGCCAAGTGCTGACCGAGATAGCACTCGGAATCCGTAGTCTCCTCCTCGAACACTTCAAACGGTTCTCTGTCAGCGGACCTGGCGGACTAATGGTAACCAAAGACATGACGCAATATGCTGACCTCTTCAAATCCTGGGACATCGACGAAGAGACCAAAGGCCCCGGTGGCGCGCTGGACGTGCTTCTGGAAGTCGGCAGTCTATTCGTGATTGGCCCGGAGGCTCTTCGCGAACGGATCCGTGGTGGTGCTGCCAGCGGCACGACCGGTGGCCCCGGGGGTTCGGGACGCAATGCTGTCCAGGAGGGTAAGTTGAGCGTGCAAGAGGTGCGGGCTTATATCTCGCGTCGCGAGGACTCCAATACTTTTGCTATGCAACAGGTTCTTAATGCATTGTGAGGGGGAGACCTTGGTCTGGGATGTTTATACCCTATTGTTTTTGCTTTGATGGGAGCGTGTTGTTTCTACTGGGGGATATAGACCGGCGTAACGATAATGCATGCATTGGTACCTGCTTGTCTTGATATATTGCTTTCATAATCTTGTTCTATGATTGCTCTAAACAATACGAATATAACATGTATCTAGCTTTTGTATGTCATGTACGCACCGTCCAGGCATCGATGCGATACGCCCTGTCGCGCGTTGCACATCGCTTTCCGGAAGGGCCTGTATACGAAATCCGGAACAT